CAGCTGATTCACTCCAAGTCTTCAAGCTGGAGGTAGAATCATTGATCAATGCCCTCAGCCTGACAGCAGATACAAACGGGGCTGAGTGGGTCTTGAAAATAATTGTCCAGGAGAAAATACCTAGGGACATATTGAGACAAATAAGTGCTCATTACAATAAAAGCATCTTATCCATGAATGAAATATCTGAAGGTTTAAAGTCAGTAGTTCATCAATTACGAACACATGACAAATTAAAACCACCAAGTAAACCCTCAGAAACCAATAATAGTAAACCACAGAGTACCAAAGGTACTCCAAATCAATCTAGACAATATAATTCAACACCAAAGTGGAACAGTGGCAGTGTGGGCGTATATGCAGTGGGACCCTCCAAGCCTATAGTTACTGTGTCACCCAAGAACGTGACACCAAAGGGTACTGGAAGCTATGGAACATGTTTGTTCTGCAATGAGAAACATTCAATGTACCACTGCCCTAATTTTCCTGATAGTGACGCCCGTGTTGAGCGACTCAAAGATTTGCAACATTGCACGAGGTGCCTCAGGAAACATAACATCAACGACTGTGATACCCAATTACACACCTGTAATAGGTGTAACAAAGGCCAACACCATGCAGCATTGTGCAGAGACACCAAAACAACGTCTCCAAACCCCAAGGTGGAAGATAGCATTCCCACCACAGTACAGTACTGCAAGGTGCAACAAACAAACAGTGTCCAATCGGCAAAGTCTAAAGGTAATACGACTTTGCCTACTGCCCAAATTACCATCCTGAATAAGAGGGCCAAGGTCCATACCCGTGGGTTGTTTGACCAAGGATCCCAAAGAACATATATCACTAAAAAGCTGGCAGATGAACTACAATTAAGGCCTGTAGCCCAGATGTCATTCAACATCTCAGGGTTTGTAACAGATGCAGGACCTCAAGTCTACCAGGTGGTACAACCATCAGTACGCTTAGGCAGGTACGTCTGTCGAGTACAAGCCATTGTGGTGGACAAAATACCAGTAGACCTACAAGTTCAAGGTCTGAGAGCAACAGCCAAATTCCTGAGAAATAGAGGAATAAAATTGGCAGATAATATTAAGTCTGATCACCTCACCGACTTCGGTCTCCTTGTAGGGACAGACTATTGTCATCGATTCATTGGTAGCCCTACTAAATATCAGGGCATAACCATGTTAAACTCTGCAGGAGGTAAATTACTCTCAGGCCCAGTATCAAGCCTGAGGAGACCTATGCCTGCAGATAAACAATACCAGTAGAAATCTAAATTTGTCAGCTGATTATATTTCTCCAGTAGCATTATACTAAGGAGATTACAGTTGACTATACCAACAGAGGTTGATGTTAGTATCATCATTTGAAGCTGAAGATGAGTTCATGAGGCCTCAGTGGCAAATCAGTGAACAGTAGCCTAAAACAGCTACAAGTCACTGCGACCAATGTCACTGAACCCACTGCAGTCTCAGAACCATACTTTACTTTAATGATGAGCTATTCAATCTTCTGAATCAATTAACTAAATTAAACCCCAATAAATCTGATGACTGATTTGATACATTTATTATTTAATCAAGATGTATTCCATGGGCCTCAGTGTTTATATATCAGTGACCAGTTACCTGAAGAAACTTCAAGTTATATCTAATGTCACTGATCTCACTGCAGTCCCTGAATCATACTTGACTGTAGTACTTGATCACATCCAGTCTTCTGGGTTAAATAATATGTAATAAGGCTTGAATATTAGCCTTTCAAGAGTTGACAGGGAAATGAAATCGCATTAGACTTCTAACCCCTGCAACTCTAGTACGGGACATCCGTCCTGTACGAACAGACGCACAAATGTGTGCTTACTAACTACTAACATCAAATTAATCTAATAATTCGAAGGAGGAGTATCGGTGTTCGTCTGTTCTAAATAGGACTTCGACCCGTGAGCAGCCCCCTGGGGAATTATGTCGGAAAATCCGACACCATTTAATAATCATACAGATAATAGCTGTATTACCAACAAGTTACCCATAGAAAACGTAACTTGTAGTGGAATTACCGTCTAAGAAAACGGGATATCATCACCACATACTATTATAATTCACCAGCTATTCTGCTGGGAATTATTCTTAAATACATAAGTCTTTGGACTTTACCATCATAAAAACATCTTATATAAATTAACTTAATTATCAATATTAAAGTAGAGTAAATGTGACCCTTCTATCACTTTCTGAAATCTGGACAAAGTAGGCCAGGCGTCAGTGAGTGGAGGAAGGAGGGCAGCCATTGTTGTTATACGAGACCAGAGGCTCACACGGGAGCAAATTCGGCTCCTGTTAATTTTACTTGGACGTAGTGTTATGGATACCAAAGGTGTACCATCTGTCAACACGCTGTCAACAAATCAAGTTAAGTGTTCTTTCCGAAACCCATTATTTATCATTAGTGGCCATTAATGTCATTATATAGGGTGGTCCAGTTAGATCACTTGGAAGCCTCAAACTAAAGGTAATTAAGCCAGGTCTTTAATGTTCCATGTACTGTATAGTGTTTTCTCTGATATAGCTTGTCATATATAGGATTCTGGCTTCACAGCTAGCGCACTTTTGACAGGTCAAGACGAGGATGCAAGAGTTTGTGCACCAGTTACTGGGTGATATGGAAGCTACCTCAAAGAGGATAATTTGGTGAACACACTTGAAACACGGAAAGATTGTCATAATGGAGCAGCCTATCCGACAAACACTGAACGAACCTTTATGACATTTGTCCGTTTTCAAATTGTTAACTTTTTTTTATTTAAGAAACATGGAGCAGCTTACCTGACAAACACCGAACGAACCTTTTGCTATACATAAAATAAAAAAAATGGAACAAATTTGAAGAAAGAAAAATGTCATAAAAGTTTGTTCAGTGTATGTAAGGTAGGCTGCTCCATTATTTAAAACACCGAATATCATATTGATGTTTTTCGATGGTAGAATGGATTATTTCTATTTACATTCTTTTCAATCGGAAACTTCGTTTTGAATGAAATCAATTTCACATGATGACCACGGCGCCGGAACAGATTAAAGTTGTTATTCGAGGTTCCACTGTATAACAGAATAGAGCATAATAACATACTCATTATTATTGGTGTTGTTATGTATTACTCAGCAATGCTATAAAGACACCAGCTGCAGATCAACTTTGTGGACACTTCTTACTACTATTCTTCTTTGTGGATCGAACAGGTGTTTGCATCTCTTTAATACTCCATTATCCCTTAGTTACAGTTAATAAGAGCTGTTCTCCTTATCAACAAACATTCTTCTTTTTAAAAAAATCTAAAATGCATTTCTGAAAATATTGGGATGCAACTCTCACGACACTGAAGCCAATAAGTTGGAAATTTGTGTAATATTTAATTTAACACTTTCGCACTCTCGTAGCGCTTAAACGCGTTACCAATTTTTCTTCAGTCATCTCTCGTAACGCAAGTACGAGTCCAACAATAAAATATTTGTATAAAATTAATTTTTTATCAGATCGACTTTAGGATAGTTTCAAAATGAGCACCTTTAAATTATGCACAATTTGATACCAAAATGAAAGATGTAACACGAAACTTGAAACACAGAACACTTGAAAGATTATACAGTACTGTATATACAGTACGTTTATGGTTAAAATGTTAAAATTATATTTATTGTGCTATTATTATGGGAATAGCTTTAAAATGCGAGCCTTTACATTGCGAACAATTTGATACCGAAATGAAAGATGTAACACCCTGTACACATGCATGACCAAACCACACACCAGAAGATGTAGAAACTACGACATTTTGGTCCATCCTGGACCATTATCTAGTCGAATGTGATGGGAGACAAAGGCACGGGCAATAAATAAGGAGTAAGGTGAGCAGCAGGTAAGAGAAGAAGGTTAATTCCTACAAGAAGGCAAGAATAAGGCGAATAAGGAGAGAATAGAATGAAAGGTACAAATGTGATGAGTGTGATAAAGGAAGAATGAGATGGGTAAGAATAAGAGGGTAAGAAAAAGAAGAAAAAGAAAAGGGGAGGGGGGTAGGCTAAATCAGGTCACATTTGTTAGGAAGGTTAGAGCATTTGAGTATGTACTGTGAAAGGGAAGAGTCAACAGCAACAAAGCCAGGACTAAGGTTCATGTCGGGTATGTGTATGTGTGTACACATGCAGCTCAGTCTTGGATACAAATATAATTAGGAATATAGAACAGGTGAAAATGAAAATACAGTACGTGTAAATTATGTGGTATGTCATGCTCTCATATCCTCACCCGTTATGTTGAGTGCCTGTTGACTGATGTACATTAAGACTGTTCCAGAACAAATAGCATGGATGTATCACAATGGGAAGATTGATGATATACTGGAGAGATACAACAATTTTGTCCCAAGAATGCCAAATAGTGGATTTGCTTAAATGTCTATTTGTAGCCTTTGTAAGTATGTTTTTTGTATTTATTAATAGAAGTACAGTATTTGTATTTATCGGTGTGTGTATATACATATAGAATAATATTACCCATTTACAGGAAGAAACGTAAATTTTTGCCAGAAACGTTATGCGTACTATTGGCTTTAGGTATTGTATGTACTATCTCTATCTTTAAATCCAACATTATGTATGTAACTCAATGTATGTACCTTTACCTGAATAAAAAATCTAAGTGCTTATCACCCAGAATGTTAAGTAATATGATGATTGTTTGTGATTGTGTAACAACAATTTAACTATAAACTTTTTGGTTTCCATTAAATACAGTATACTGAATGTTTTTTTTAATCAACTCTAAATGAGAGTTCAAACCTTTAGAAATGACACCTTTTCAATAACAAATATTATTGAAAAATATGACAGTTATCATGCATTACACTTGTAAATTGGAAAATGATAAAACAGATGAAATGCAATTCAGACAAAATAGAAAAATTAAAAATAGTACAGTACTGCAGATAATTCACTTACTGTAGATAGCACTGTATTGAGAATATTTAGTGCAAGCTTTGACTCAGGATTATTCATTTGACTGAGATGTCTGATGGAGCCAACCAGGTCTGCAGCTCCTCCTCCTCTATACTCTCCCAGGAGACTTGTTCCCGATCCTCCAGTAGGTGGTAGGAAATCTCCACCGTGACTTCCAATCCCAGCACCTCCCATCGGAATTACACCACTTGCCCAAGGATTTACCATTGGGTTGTTTGAGCTCATGGCACTCATGTTCCTGCATGTTCAACAAATGGTAAATATAAATGTAAACTGCCACTCTACTCCAAAACAATTATGCATATGCAGTTCAATAAATATACATTTAATTCATTTACAGGCATTTAAAAGTTTAAATATGAAATTACTCAATTGTTAGATCAAGAAGAAATCAAATCACATCTATTAATGTTTAATAAAAGATGTAGAAATATTTTATAACTCGTTTCTTGTAAATTTAAGGAAAAAAATACAGCCTTTAATTGTGGGCTGCACTTTAGCTGTGTCCCGTCAAGGACTAGCTTCACTGAAATTAACAATACCAGAGAAGGTGAAAAGGGAACGCCTCGTGGCATCGCTCTATGAGAGTATGCTCATTAAATGGTGTCTATGAATTTCCATGCATGCATGTATCTTTTTAAGAGATGTAGAGCCCCCAAGATTCATCAGTTACACATGCCAGGTAGACTAGTTATTGATTCCTGGACATCAGTGTCGAAAGGTGATCCCAACACTTCCTACTGATACTGCAGTGTGAACACGACAGAACTTAACTGTGAATCATCACTATTGTTGGCTATACTGCTGAAACATATTCTGCCCTCATTATCTATTGCATCTAAGCTTTGCCTTGACACTTTAATAAAGTTACATCCATTCCAATTGGATTTAATGTATGTTGATACAGATAGTTGCAAATAAATTAATGTTATCAAGACTAGATTTTCTCTGAACCAGAGTAATCTTGCAGTCAACGTTCTAAACGACTGATAATCATGTCGCAAAAGCATGTACTGTATGGTTATACAAAATTATGCCGTAACTACAATTCTCATAAAGTCCCTTATCAAGGTTGACTCAAGAACAAGACTTAAGATAGTTGAAATGCATTCATCATTGTGTTTAATGATAGACTTTCCATCAAAAGGAGGAGTTAATTGCAAAGAGGCACAATCCTGCATAACCTAAACCGGTTTATTCTCAACTTTTTTTATAGTTCCTCTAAGAAATGGTCTGACCAAAGGTTACCACCAACCTGAAGTAGTGATGACTTCCTGTAGTTGCACTCAAGGGTGAAGTTTTTGGTTTATTTAATATTGTAGTAGAAGATGGATTTACATCTTTCCTAACATGTAATAGACTATCATTGAAAAATGTAGTTCCCTCAGTGTGCATTCATGAGGTTAGCTCACACTTGAGTCACTATCAATTTACAAACAATTATCCATGTTTAGAATCATGACTCTGCCTGCTTAGCAATCAATTAAGAAATGAGCATAATTACCGTAGTTGCCGGCATAAAAGGCGCACTCTTTCATAGGATGCGCCCCTATTTTACAAGGATATTTTCTTGAAAAAAAAAAAAAACTATTTTAGTATATTTCATCATTTATTTATTGAAAGATATTTTATAGTTGTTTTTGTACCCCCATCTCTTACCTCCTCAAAGATCAGCTGTATATTTGTTTATATTTTGGGCAAGAGAAGTGCTATACAGGATGTGAAACTTTTATTTCTGGATGTGATGTCTTGTGTTGCCGCATCAGGCCACCAGGGCAGTACACCTGGTGAAGACGCACTATCACAACGCTCTGGTTTTGTTGTCATTTACTCATTGCAAATGGCTGACAGGCAGATAAAAGGACATTTCTTTCAAATTTCTAGGAGCATTTTTCATTTAGATAATGAATAAATGTTTCTTAAAGGTAACAGTCGTTAAATAATGTATAATATCAGGCATGGGTTATGTAAGCTGGGTAAGAAGGTGAGACGAGAGCTTCCTTCATAACTGCTGACGTAGTGTAAGCAATTTCTTGCGAGTTTGTGACTGTGAACAGACTGCGATAACTCAGCTTGTTTCAATATTTTATTATTAGTAACAATTTACGGTGATAATTTGGCTTGTTTTCATTATTTTATTATTGGCAAAGATTTTTGTGCCTAGCGAACTTAACCAGTATTGTATACTCGTCTGGATCCCGAGCCTATGGCGCTCGGTCTCACATCTGTAATATGATTGCATTAGACGCAGGGCAATTTTTTGATACATTTAAAAATATATAACCGAGTCTTATATGCTGGAAAATACAGTAACTGCATAGAAATAGATCACCCAAGGAGATAAGACAATTTTTTGTAGAGAAAAAACAGGGTTTTGCGAGTACCACTTTCATATGATCTAATAGTTATGCCAATTATGGAGTTATGCCCATTCGGCATATTGCTGAATCATCACTACTTGCTGTTGAGTACGTGTCATACAATAGATGGTATGTAACAATGAGCAATTACCAAATGAACACCTAAAGGAGTCAATCCTCACTGAAAGCAATATTGAGCACCTTCAGAAGAAATTTATCTAAGGTTGTTAACCACTGCACTGCGCCACCCGACATAACACAGGGCATGGTGGTGCACCACTCGACTCTGGAGCAATACTGTATTGGGGATATCGTAAGATTCAAAGTGTAAATGCGGTAGGTTGGGTACGAGATGAACACCTGAGACCTCCAGTGAGCAGCAGCCTTCTTGAAAAAAATTCCTAGCATGCCCTAGAGCCACGGATTGGCTCAGTTCTGATGAGCAACCATAGCTGGCGCACGGGCCTTCGACTCCCAATCCCGTCAGACGTGGTGTCGAAAGATCGCTCTCCGATGATGAAATTCAGACCTTATGGTTTGAAGAAGAAAAGGGTAGTGATATTGATGAAACAAGGAATGATAAAGACCTAACACAAGTGTCGGATACAAGTGATACAATACAGATGAGGACGATACATCGAGCGTATCCAGTACAGGATGAGTGCCAGGCCTCACCATTATCACCACCACCTGTGTCATCTCCAACTTGTGAAGAAAGCGATACTATAGATAAATCGTTTTCTGGGTTCAGTGATGATGCTTCACTGAAGTAGCATAGATGAACAGTGTGTTAACAGCGTCCATGGTGGTGTTACTATGCCAGTAGTAACACCACCATGGTGGTGCCAGTACAAGGAGCACGGGTGAATTACACAACAAGGAAAGATTGTGATAATGAAGATATGAGTGAAAGTGAATATTTTATGGCTAATTTTGATGAGCCATTCATGCAACATCTTGTTGACAAAACCAACAGGTATGCATTGCAACTTCAACTTATTGCAGGTGGCTTATTACCTGCTTCACGTATGACACGTTGGAAGGACACCACTGTGGCTGAATTGAATGTGTTCTTAGTTGTGTCTGCTTATGAAACATTCCGTGAAACACATAATATAGGATTATTGGAACGAATTTTGTGCTGTTCCAAGCCCAGTGTTCAACAAGTACATGTCATGAGACAGGCTCCTGATATTTCTACATTGCCCACACTTTGAAAACATTGCAAATGTTGATCGAAATTACTAGTATTGACTTTGGAAAGTGCGAAAAGTGTTCAGTGATAGACAAAAATTTTGTGATTACGTTGTACCAGGACAGAATTTTGTCATTGATCTTTTCAAGACTACCTTACACTTCATATGCTTGGCTGCATACCACCTACAGGAACTAAAACCAAAGGTGTATGTGAGTGCATTGTTTGCAAGCCATTCATGCCATTAAAGTCTGCCCGAAACGCTTTGCGTAATAGTGGCTTTAGGCATTGTATGTACTAGCTCTTATCTATAAAGCCAACAAACTTTGTAAAATCTCTTTATGTATGTACCTTTGCCTAAATAAAAATTATTATTATTATTATTATTATAAGCACACAGACTGAAGAAACAAACCAAAAATCTGTGTACTTGGTGCATCAAGTGCAAAGTTGTGCTCTGTACCATGGACTGCTTCTTTGATTATCACTCACTTCTAAAGTACTCAGAGTGTAGTACAGTGTATGACTGCAAAGAGTGAGTGTACATAGTGTAAATAGATTGATTACTTGTATTGAACACGTAATATTGCGACAATAAACAATTTTGTGGACACATTACTGTAGTGACATGTATCACAGTTCCTTGGAACATTATGAACGTTCTACTGTGTGCATATTGTAAAGGACACAAATGTGAATCAGATACGATAAAAAAAATAATTAGAAAGCATTGAAAATACACTGATAAAAATTATGAAAATTTATTTGTGGCAACTCGCGAGTTTCGAATTGCCCGCACGACAGCCTCGCTGAGCTTCCTGCATGTGCAAACACACATTTGTAATGTCACATCGCATCTTCATCATGTCGCTACAGCCAGGTGTTTTTTTTTTTTTTTACACATGTACATGTACATGTTTAGGAAAGGGATTTAACAATTTACAAAGAAACAATTTTGAGGGAACACTTCAATTACCGCGTACCACCAATTTCTGTCGCAATAAAAGCCACGCAGGACAGAGATTAATCTTCAAGAAACAGCACTCTGGGAAGAAACCCCTCCCTTGTTAATGCACAGTGATGCCATGTGGTGGTGGTGGGGGGGAGGGAGGAAGGTGGTAGTAGCACGGATTGCAAAGGAAGTTAGTGCTAATTGGCATTCCTTGTGCTAATTAGTGCTGTCAGGGGCATTGAGGATAGTTCTCACTTGTGTGCCATACGAGCTACTCCCTAGGTGGTGGCCTTAGCTAGACACACCATGGTGTTCATCACACTTCTTTTCCCCGATAAAACCATATGCAAAGATACTTGATAGACTAGGAGACAATATCACAAAAGTGTAGCACATGAATCCAATCCTAGTGGACTGTAGTGACTGGATCAGGGAACACCTGATGAGCTTCAGTTCAGAAATATACTGTACTATAATAATTTAATGAACTACATTATAGAATAATTTCAGTGGAAAAAACACTTGAAAATATTTTAACTATAGAGACAGCACTTTCTAAGTATTTGACAATGTCACTAATTGCATGCCACAACTATAAACTGAAAAATAATTGAAAACAGAAAAACATGCACTATAAAGGACAATCAATGAAAGTGCACAACATTACTGAAAGCAGCAGCAGCTGCCTTTCTAAGCTTAACTCTTAAAGGTCAGTTATCGTTACTTGTTAATCCCTGGGCTAATGCCATTATGGTCATTTCCTGATTTTAGTTATCACCACCCAGTTTTTATGTAAATCCTGTAAATAATACATATATATGGATGCAACGGAGTTAACCAAGACCCGTGAAAAAATAATGCTATCATTTTAATTGCTTATTGTGCATAGAGGTTATCAAGTACTATACCAGTGGCGTGCAATGATTGCAAAATCAGAAATGGGTCTTTCCTGCCATTGTCAATCTGGTGTATTTCTGGACAACTTTCCCAGACAGAATAACAACAAAGGGGTGGGGTTGCAATACACTTCCTTTGATCTGTGCCAGAGATTGGTTGAAGTGTTATATAGGTGTACATGTTACAATGCAGACCTATAAACAGTACTCAGTCTTCATTGTTAATTATGTGTACTGTATATAAATTAGGTTATTCAAAACAAAAAAATACATAATATAAACTTATAAGTGAAGCCACAAACTATTCAACTTGATCAATTAAGCCCACTCGCTCTTACACCACAAAATAGTAAGCTGTGCATCTAGTGCTGATGCACTCATTGACCCGTCCACCCGACTACATATCCAGAAACGAAGCATTCATTTGTTGTTTTTTTACATTATTCTTATGTTTTACATACAAATATATAATTCTATTATTCTTACGTTTTATCATTCTATATGATAATTGTTTGCACACAGCCAGTAGCACATTTGATAGCCCCTCTTTGAGGATTAAAATTATAATAAGCAATATGTACATTTATTATTAAATTTAGATAAAAATCTTAAATTCCAATACAAAATCTGTACAGTAATAGCACATTTTGCTAACTCACGTGAACCAACAGGAAATAATGGTAATGGGGAGGGAGGAAAAAATAACTTATTTAAATGGTGTTTTCAAGTTCTAACCAACAAATATTCCAAACAGTTGGCTTACATAACTAAAGGTTTTAAGGTAGGTTTTAAGGTACAAATAATTAATCTTATTTCAAATATTTTCCATTAGAATTTAATTAAAAATCTGCCCAAAACGTCATACTATGACTCTCACTCAGTTGAAAATCAAATTCCCATAACTACACTTGTAAAAATACTGTGCTAGTACAATAAAGAAGGAATCCAGCTAAAATGGAGTGATTCCCTGCAGATGCCTCCCATTGCATAAGAATTTCTATTGCACCTGATCTAAAAGATTCATTGGAATTTTTTGGCCATGATTATGTTTTTATTAGTGCAAATAACGGATCATGCTTTGATACACATTCTAATGAAGTCACATAGAAAAAGTACATTTTTAATACAAGTATAACTTTTCCTCAGCACATTCTGGCCCAGTAAATATGTGCCTGCTAAACTACATTTCTGACATTTACCACTACAGTACATTCACTCATGTCGATCTTACAATCGTAAGGTAACCTTTGGTCACATCCAGACTTCCGTTAAACCAGTTTCCAGTTTCCATTAAAAAGGGTTCCACTCCACAGTATTGTTAAAAATATAAAAATATAACTGCCTTGGAACATCAAACATTTAATCTTAGATGCAGTGGTCTTCAAAAGTACAATGTACTGGTGGTTTGTGTTTAATAAGAGCCATATTGGTTGGTAGAATTGAGTACAGTAATAGATTTCTAACCAACTAAAGCATGGATCCTAAACAACATTTATTAGCAAATAAAAATATATTTTGAAAAGTTTTATGCTTGGATATTGCTGTCTTACCTGCCCTGATTGTATACAATGCCAGAAGGTCCAAAGCCCTGGCTGCTATATTCTATTGCACCTCTCCCGCCAAACTGGCTGCCACTTCTGTCTCTACGAGTGTAGCCTGCCCCAAAATCACTACTGCCACCCATGTTTCCACGGCCTAGACTACTGTTGTCTTGAAATCCACGATTACTTCCAAACCTTTTGAACAATAGTCAAACTACAGTACAGTATTGGAAACATGAGAGTAAAATAAGAAAAGCTTAACAACAACTATACTGTACTTTAATACTTTATCAATGAAGTAATTTTTTTTAGTTTTATACAAAACATTATATATAAATAGCACAGATTTTAATGAAATGAATCTTTCTGGGTGGCATCTAAGAGACTTCCAGAGTTTACACCACTGGCACCTCAGGGCCACAAACGAGTCTCCGGGTTCCTATGATTATCTCTACCAAACACAAGTAAGGACCAATATCTAAACTGTATCTTTACAGTAGAGGAAGATATGAGAATTACAGATCAACTCAATATTAGGGTAAATCATCCAAAAAGTTGAAAGGAAGTCACAAAATACAACCTCTAGAATAAGAGATGTGACCATCATAGTGCCATAAAAAACTCTGTAAAAGGCAAACGACTTATTCCCTGACTTCACCCACCACCATAGGTGAGTGAAGGTCACATACATAGGTCACTTGGGCCTGAAGCCTGACACTCACAACACTCTCGAGACAAAACAAACATGGACAAAAATCAGAACAGGATGGGAACAGGGAGTCAGTAGAGTGCATCAAGAAAGGAACGTTTCAGAATACTTCATACTATTCCTGAACTGGCCTCCTCAGAAGCTTCCTCTAGTTTATTTTACACCTCTGATGCACAATTAATAAAGTTGTTCTCGATGGCATAAAGCCCAAAGTACATAAGAAATATAAAAATAAAAACTTAAGAGGCTTACTTGTGATAAGACCTGAGGAATCTGATGCTGTATCTCAAGAATGACACAAATGTCCCAGTGGTCCCACAAGTCCAAAGGGGGATGCTGAAAAATCCTCTAAAGACTACAGCATTCTCTCCACAGACTGGGGGTGTTTTTCCTTGCAGGCCCAGTAGAGGAATTTTCCTTGCAGGCCCAGTATCCTCTACTGGAAGGAAAATAGAACAGGCACAGAGCAGGGAACTCTGCCCAGAACATCTGGACACACCGAACCAGAACATCTGGACACATTGACCAATTGTGGCAAAAAGCTGGCCCAGGAGGTAAGGTCAAGAGAAAGCACTAAGCCATTATGACTATATGACCAGAAGAAATAAAAATGGAGGAAGACCCAAGAACAGAGGAGAAATTCAACCAAATCTGAAGATAAAACACTCCATCCTCCACACAGCCTGATTTCTGTAATTACACTACTGTATAATTGTAGAAATCAGGCAGAACAATCCCTACAATGGCAAACAAGCAAACAAGTCACAACTTGGAAGGACACAACCCCCTCCCTCCTAAAAGCTGTGTGGAGCTACTCTTTATAGTGCAGGAAGACCCATAAAGGCAAGGGGAAGCCTTGCCTGGAACCCTGGAGCCCAGCTAGAACTACAGGAACCACAGAAGGCTGCAGCTAATTTGGGAAATACCAGGGACCAGCCACTACAAGGGCATGTACCCAAAATGCAGGCAGAGAAAAGACAAACCACACTCCAAGAAACTGGTAAAAACTCAAATCTGCAGTGCATATTAAGCAAATCAATACGGGTCCGTCTAATTACCCAAAGCTACTTAAAGCTATCCAAAGCTTCCTAACATTATGCAAGTACAGTAATGAAATATGACATTTGCTCACTATAATGTTGGTGCTGAATGAAGAACATGAACACGCACATTTTTATTCTGAACTAATATAATTTTATAATGAAATTAGGTCCATCTAATTACAGTACTCAAAGCCACATCATTGTCACTTAGATCGTCGACTTCCTATGGCATCACCTACCACTTAGTTTCGTCTAATTTTGCTATAAAAATAGGTTTTATCCAATGTTCTACATTCAGCACCAACATTATAGTGAGTAAATATATCATATTTCTTCATTATTTACATAATGCTAGGAAACGTTTGGGTAATTAGACGGACCGAATCAATACTATATGTAACTAACCACAAATGTAAATTGCTTAGCTTAATGATTGTTGTGATCCAGTTCTTGGAACCATTATGTTAAACCTTTCTGCTACTCACTCAAGATGGGGATTGAAATCCATAACACTATTCAACTAAAACTCTCGATCGTTGTGCTAGGCCTTTTTGTGATCACAGGTATGTTAGCCTTACAAACTTTGGGGTACATCTCCAAAGCTCATTATGTGCTATAAAAAGACTGCTGAAATATGTTAAACTATGTAACTGTCTTATAAATGCTGTAACTTGTTTAGTTAAATGAATTTTGGGGTTCAGTTCCTGAGGTCCATCAGTTCAGGTCCATTATATGCTTATGTTACCTTTTCCATTACCACTCTCAGGACGGGTATGTGATGTATAATAAATTAACTGAACTAAACTTTTGATCCACAAGATCGCTTTGCCTCGAAGAGTGAACCAGATTCTGGTCCCAACTTCCAGAAGATAATGGATGGGTATCAGAGGCCTCATGTGCTTAGCAGAGATTCCTCCCAGAATAAATCTAATACTAAGGCTCCTGCATTACAAGAGTTTAACCACTCCCCTCTAACACTTATCCACCAATGTTTTCCTCCCACCTACTGGTAATTTGAAAAATAATTTGCAGAACTGAGAACATACCTGTTTTGGATACCGGTACCTCTGAAACTTGATGACCATCTCCTATTGGCAGGCATTCTGAAAAATATATTAAATTAAGCGCAGTGCTGTAGAGACCTAGAAGGTCATGTTCACCCATAGAAGAACTACATCCATGATGATTCTACGGCATCATTACTAGGTGGTCTGTTACACCCTTCACCTTAGCATTCATCCTTCAATGACCTATTAATGCAGTATATCAATCCTCCTAAAAATAAAGGGGAAAAATTTGCAAAAATGCATCATACCACAGTTACAGAGATAAAACTGGCAAATGTAATAGAAGATGCAATACTGTATTCCCAAGAGAATACCAAGTAGTAAGGCAAGACAGAGGCAGGGAGAGAAGATTCCAGAGGTAACAACCAGCCAACAGGACTTCATACTAGGCATGATAACAGTGAGGACCATGAATGGTGTTACAGTATTTGCAACCTTCTATTAACTACAGGAAGGTCAAGGAAGGAATATGATAAATGCAATGAACATACTTGAAGATTAGCAGTCTCCGTGGCGTAGTGGTAAGACGCTCGCCTGGCGTTCTGCGAACGCTTTGTCCTGAGTTCATAAAAAATAAATAAATAAAAATAATAGAAAAGGTGGCAATAGTGACCAAGAAAGCCAGAACAAAAATCCTAATACTTGTGGATTTTTAACCACAAAGAAATAGGGCCAACAAAGGATCCTCGCTGTGGAGATGAAACATGGAGAACAAGATTTGTGAACACTACAAACACTTCCTGTGGTAGCATATCAAGGAGTTAATATGAGAAAGATCTTAGACTTGGTGTTCACCAAAATGAAGAGTATGAAGAGAAATATGAGGTGCCACTAGGAGCCAATGACCACTGCATTATGTTCAATTACATTGTAGTTTCTTGAATTAGTCCACCTTTGTTCCAACAAGGAGTAAAGGTGCTTGTAATGGTTCTTATGCTTGCTAGGGTACTGAATAGAAATGGACTACTGATATTCATACAGTGTTCTCTGATTGTGCCTATGTTACCTCCACTCCTCACTGGTTCTATTCTGCATTTCCTACCATATCGTTTGTTCCAGCATGTTATTTTACTATGTAAATTTAAAAACTGGCCCTCCAGTATCTTCCATGTATATATTACGTGAGACCTGTCTTGTCACCTTTCTAGAGAACATTGTAGATGCTTTGTTGTGTCTGTGCCATATATTGTATATACTGTATATAATTGATAGTTATTTACACAGTCATCAGTTACCCAAATTTATAACTCGCATCCTACCTTTTGTAAATACTGTACTGTACTGTATGTTAATCGAGAACAACCCATAATAATTATACAATTATAAAATTATGTTCTAAATTCTATCCCTTGCCTTTCACTGAGCTCAGAAAATAGGACACAGTACCTGGTTGCTGTCTTTGGAAACTAGTGTTTGGGCATTTGGAACACATCCACAGGCCTGAACATCTGGAAACCAGATTTGTTATTCTAAAAGTTTTGCCGATGATATGAAAATGAGAGAAGTTTTAATATACAGTAGCCAATAATTTACCTGAGGGTCTTCATCCCTATTGGCCTCAATAGGGAGCCAGTAGTTTGTCAGATTCACCCACTTTTCTTGAGAAATTTATTCAGTTGAATTTTGAGCGGAAGTACTGTACAATTTTGACACTTAGCTATTAGTGAGTAGGTGATTATGTTTTTTTTTTACCCTATAGGTTTAAAAGCATCTCATTGGTGTGTCCCACATTATGGTTTATTGTACTAGAAGCTATTGTCTTCCCTGTGAGAGTTATGTTGGACCCTTAAAAGAAGTGGAACTGGACAAATATACTGGATTCCAATTGCTCAGTGATCTCATATATTCCGATGAGATCAACCCTATCATCTAGTTTGTAATGTTGAGCGTCATGAGCCCCTCACACATTCCTGATTAAGAGTTGATTTAGTTCTGGGATGATTTGTCAGGGTGCTGAACTTATTCCAAAGGAGTGATGTCCTTTAGATGGCAAGGTCTCCATACAGTATTTGGATACAGTATTGTGCCCCACACCAAGGATTTGCACTTGTAAAATTTTCTTACTAATAGGCGATATGTCTCACTGTTTAGGGACTAACACTAGTATGTCCATCAACTTGGTTTTGTGATTAAACTCTTTGACACTGCAGTCAATTATCTGTGGATATTTCATATAGTTTTAATTCCAGTGACATTATATAACAGCTCTTTCAATTAATACCATAAATTTTTAAATAACCAAATACTGTATGCTTTAATCTCAGCCAATCAGCATCAATGACCAAGTGTTCAATGACAAGTGTTCACCCCAGGTGAACAAGTCATCAAATATAAGGAAATGTATTCAAATGGATTGAGTGACTGTGATAACCATTATGCTACAGATTATAATTTATTGACATCTTTTAACAATAAATATTAAAACATTTTGTGCTCCCATTGAGTTTATAGTCATATCCACGCATCATTATTATACTGTATGTGAAAATGACGAGAATTACCGGAATCACAAATTGTGACACGCTGGCATGTGTCGTCATGGATGGGTGATGAATTGGCCTTAATCCTGAACTAATTCATGTGCAAGTAATCTACATCCTTGTCAAACATACTGTACTTGTATATCATGGTATTAATGGTAGCTTATACAATGTCATGTACTACGAATCTTTCCAGAGCACTTTATCAAATTACTGTACCATTACATGAAGGGGAAAGTAAAGGAATTTTGATTAAACACATTTGCTAATGCTGTATGAGGGTGCATAAATGATCCGACACCTAGTGGCTCTATAAGGCACTACTGCTTCTCCACACCTGGTGGGACTCCTCTAGTGTACAGCAAGTGACCAGGCCGTGGACAGGTCACTCGGGGCTACAGCCAGTGACCAGGCCGTGGACGGGTCACACGGGGCTACAGCAAGTGATCAGGCCGTCAACGGGCCACTCAGGGCTACAGCAAGTGACCAGGCCGTGGACAGGTCACTCGGGGCTACAGCCAGTGACCAGGCCGTGGACGGGTCACTCAGGACTAGGGCCAGTGACCAGGCTGTGGACGGGTCACTCGGGGCTACAGCCAGTGACCAGGCCGTGGACGGGTCACTCAGGGCTACAGCAAGTGACCAGGCCGTGGACGGGCCACTCAGGGCTACAGCCAGTGACCAGGCCGTGGACGGGTCACTCAGGGCTACAGCAAGTGACCAGGCCGTGGACGGGTCACTCAGGACTACAGCAAGTGACCAGGCCGTCAACTGGCCACTCAGGGCTACAGCAAGTGACCAGGCCGTGGACGGGCCACTCAGGGCTACAGCCAGTGACCAGGCCGTGGACGGGTCACTCGGGGCTACAGCCAGTGACCAGGCCGTGGACGGGCCACTCAGGACCACAGCAAGTGACCAGGCCGTGCACGGGCCACTCAGGACTACAGCATGTGACCAGGCCGTGCACGGGCCACTCAGGACCACAGCCAGTGACCAGGCCGTGGACGGGTCACTCAGGGCTACAGCAAGTGACCAGGCCGTGGACGGGTCACTCAGGACTACAGCAAGTGACCAGGCCGTGGACGGGCCACTCAGGTCTACAGCCAGTGACCAGGCCGTGGACGGGTCACTCAGGGCTACAGCAAGTGACCAGGCCGTGGACGGGCCACTCAGGGCTACAGCCAGTGACCAGGCCGTGGACGGGCCACTCAGGTCTACAGCAAGTGACCAGGCCGTGGACGGGCCACTCAGGGCTACAGCCAGTGACCAAGCCGTGGACGGGCCACTCAGGGCTACAGCCAGTGACCAGGCCGTGGACGGGTCACTCAGGGCTACAGCAAGTGACCAGGCCGTGGACGGGCCACTCAGGGCTACAGCAAGTGACCAGGCCGTGGACGGGCCACTCAGGGCTACAGCCAGTGACCAGGCCGTGGACGGGCCACTCAGGGCTACAGCCAGTGACCAGGCCGTGGACGGGCCACTCAGGGCTACAGCAAGTGACCAGGCCGTGGACGGGCCACTCAGGGCTACAGCAAGTGACAAGGCCGTGGACGGGCCACACTGGTAGAGGTGGAGGCTACCCTGGCACTGTGAGGGACAGTGTGAGGGGCACTGTGAGGGACAGTGTGAGGGACAGTGTGAGGGGGCGAGAGAGGGCAGTGTGAGGGCCGGAGGTGAGGGCATACCTTGAGAGTGGTGAGTGTGAGTGACGGTGGATGAGGCGCCTGCGTGCGCACGGACCGCCTCCCTCCCCACTATATCTACCACTCTCCACTCAACACATTATTTACTAATATATCCATCTCTATCTTCCATCCACTTATACACAAAAAATTAGTGTAAATTGTACGATTTATATATATACTTATATAAAGATATAAATATATATATGTATACATATATATATCTATATATTTTGTTCACTGATTCTTGTTAATATATTATGTTTTATTATATGTATTGATAAGAGCCTGATGGTAATAAGAGAAAAGTACTCTTATGTGTCTTGTATTTAGGGTCCTTGAGTGGCAGCGTCGTCTGCTGACACTCTCCCTCCTCCCTGCTGACGCTCTCCCTCCTCCCTGCTGACGCTCTCCCTCCACCCTGCTGACGCTCTCCCTCCTCCCTGCTGACGCTCTCCCTCCTCCCTTCTCCCTGCTGACGCTCTCCCTCCTCCCTTCTCCCTGCTGACGCTTTCCCTCTTCCCTTCTCCCTGCTGACGCTCTCCCTCCTCCCTGCTGACGCTTTCCCTCCACCCTGCTGACGCTCTCCCTCCTCCCTGCTGACGCTCTTCCTCCACCCAACACTGCTGACACTCTCCCCCCACCCAACACTGCTGACACTCCCTCCACCCAACACTGCTGACGGTCTCCCTCCCTCCACCCAACACTGCTGACACTCCCTCCACCCATCACTGCTGACACTCCCTCCACCCAACACTGCTGACACTCTCCCCCCACCCAACACTGCTGACACTCCCTCCACCCAACACTGCTGACGGTCTCCCTCCCTCCACCCAACACTGCTGACGGTCTCCCTCCCTCCACCCAACACTGCTGACGGTCTCCCTCCCTCCACCCAACACTGCTGACGGTCTCCCTCCCTCCACCCAACACTGCTGACGGTCTCCCTCCCTCCACCCAACACTGCTGACGGTCTCCCTCCCTCCACCCAACACTGCTGACGGTCTCCCTCCCTCCACCCAACACTGCTGACGGTCTCCCTCCCTCCCACCCAACCTGCTGACACTCACTCCACCCAACGCTGATGCACTCTCTACCCCCAACACTATTCATGATATTTGTTTTAGTACAGTATTTGCGTTTCACTTTCTTACTACTGTTGTCTGGCCAGAAACTGAATAGGTGCCCGCGCAGAAATCGTGTATAGTATTAGTAATAAGCAAGTTACTGTTCCTAATTATACTGAATAATGAAAAACCATATAAATGATATATTAAGCAAAGCAAGTTACACAACTGCAAGGTTCCGGGTTCGAGCCCTACAAGACAACTCGCTTGATTCAAGTGTTTGGGCAGTCTCCTTTCTTTTGTTTACCTAATGCCTCTGTACATCTGACAATAGGTACCTGGGACAAACAACTGTTGTACTTACCTAGTTGTGCTTGTGGGGGGTCGAGCTCTGGCTCTTTGGTCCCGCCTCTCAACTGTCAATAAACTGGTGTACAGATTCCTGAGCCTATTGTGCTCTTACCAAATCTACATTTTAAAGTGTATGGAATCAGCCTCCACCACATCACTAAATGCATTCCATTTGTTAACTACTCTGACACTGAAAAAAAAATGTCTCTGTGTCGTTTAATGTCTAATGTCTCTGTGGCTCATCTGGGTGCTAAGTTTCCACCTGTGTCCCCTTGTTCGTGTTCCACCTGTGCTAAAGAGTGTCTTTGTCCACCCTATCAATTTTGTAGGTGGTTATGTCTCCCCTTACTCTTCCGTTTTCCAGGGATGAGGTTCAGCTCTCTTAGCTCATACCTCTCAGATGTGTTGTGTTGCATTATGTATGGGGAAAGTACAGTATAGTTAGCCTAGGCCATGGGGACCCCAATAGGGAGGTCCCATGTTGGCGCGGATGGCTTTACAATGTAGTTGTAATGTACTGTATACACACCCCAGCGACAAGTGACTTGGATCCCTTCTCTAGAAAGACGAAGAGCATGAAGTAATTCATGATTAAAGTATGAAAATAGATGAGACAGTATAGCGAGAAATATAAGATTTGTAATATATTAATACAAAATAAATTCGAAATAATATATATAAATCTATATCGCAGAACATTGTTAGTCCCAAATATTATTCACTATACCAGTACGAGGGCAAAAGGACGAGCAACGTTAAAGGCATCAGATTCAATCGAGGGACATTGTAAAAGAAACTTATTAAGCTGAAATTCATGACTGTGCACCCCTACAAAATTCTAGTGTGTTTAAGATGAGAAACGGCCAGTATTGTATTCGGGCCACTACAAACGAGATTAAACCCACAGTAAACAAGGAGACGTTAGCACATAAACCGCTGCTGGCATAAAACACATTAAACCGTCCATGACGCAAGGCGAAGAAGTAAGAAGAAATTCAATTGGGAAACAGGATAGAGAGAACAAGTGGAATGGGGAACGTTTTAGGGGACTCGCAAAGCACTGAAGGCAATACCACAATTAGGGTAGGAAAGCCGGAAGGTACAAGTTGAAAGTCCTGGTTAGGAACAAAATGGGAAATAAAAGCCGCAAAACCATAGTCGAGTATAAGTGGCAAATTCTTAGTACAATAGAAATGAAAAATCTATTGAAAATAACCACAAACTTTACTAGAAAATATACAAAGATGATTTGGGAATGATGTCAGATTAGCAAAGCATGCAAGTCAAATTGAGGGCAGTAGGGAGAATGCAGATAAGTTCTGTTGAAGTTACCACATTAGCAGTGGCGAGGATGACTGCTGGTATATGGTAGTACTTTATCTGTAATTCTCCATGAAAAATTCAATAGATTATTAACCGATTCTTTTGTGTAACTTTCTCTGAGCCCATGTTTTCCTATTTTATTAACGTGAGTAGGGTAATGATATATATTTTATATTATATCCAACAGTATATATATTTCCTTATATATACAGTACACAATTCAAGTGTTAAATCATTTGTATACCAAACATTGCTAGGCAAAATTAAAGAACACAGATTCATATAAATTTATTTGGAACAATTGCTTGGACGAAAATCATTACTTGAATATCTTGCCATCGTTAAATTTCCGACCCTTGTTGTCTTCTCCAATCCACTTGAAATACTGGTCAACCAACTTCTTAGTCTCGTCAGCATTAGGATCCAACTTCCGCCAATCATATGATTCATAGTCGACTGTCCAATCATCGCATAGCTGTGGAATAAAAGAAAACCCCTTTTCATAACTGCCAGAAGAATAAGAATTAGCAAGTACAGTAGATCAATATTCCCATTATATAAATTTATAATAGAAACGACAATTACTACTTCATATATTTAAGAAAGGGAAAATTAATAAATATGTGCATATCAAACAGTTGAAATACATTACAAGCATTCAATTAAAGGCTTTAGAGTATTGAACCACAAAAGTGTTAACACAAAATATGAATGAATAGTACTGTACTGTACAAAATGTACAGTACTATTGAATATCCATTTGTATGATAAATATTCGGCGGGGGTGAGACTTTTCTTACACACTAAACAGGTTATCGAGATGATTTGTGGGCTTAGCGTCTCTAGAGCCTGGTCCTTGACCAGGCCTCCTTTTCGTTACACACCCCCAGGAAACAGCCCGTAGCAGCTGTCTAACTTCCCGGTACCTATTTACTGCTAGATGAACAGGTGCATCAGAGTGAAAGAAACTCTGCCCATTTGTTTCTGCCTCCACCAGGGATTGAACCCGGAACCTTAGGCCTACGAATCCCAAGCTATGTCCACTCAGCTGGTAGGCCCCTTATTATATTTATATAGCATGTAGAGAGCATCTACAAAATGTAATTTAAAGATCCCACAACATATCAGAAATTTGTGAGGAGATGGAAGAATTTTAGGCATGGAAGTCTGTAGGCCTGGTTTGAAATTTTGGAGGTGACAAAACTTATGTTCAGTGGAGAGGTCTGAATTTAACTGTAGTACTAGAAATGTTATCCTAAAAATGGTTAATACCATTTCTCCTTAAACTATTCATTGAAACAGGTTAAGGTACTGCACTTTATAGAAAACTATATCTATAACAAAAAAGATTTTAAAGGCAAGGAATTTTTATGCAAGGCAAGAGATCCATCATATGACACGTAGGAACTACAATTTTACCAGGCAAAATGAGCCCTTTTGAACACTTCTTTTTAGAACTGTAAGGGGTGACCAATAGTTGAAGTTGTGTATGAGATGGGTACAGCAATGAGCAAGCTGAGAATTGGTATTAGAGTCAAGAGCATGCAATGTAGAATGGGTAAAGCATAATAGGGTGAAATCCTATATTTACACATCTCTCCCTGTCAATTACCCTGAGATTTTTTATGTGGTGATCATGTCTCCTCGAGCTCTTGTGTCTTCCAGCAACGTGAGGTGCAGTTCTTTCAGCCTTTCCTCGTAACTCATGCCTCTTAGTTCTGGGACTAGCTTAGTGCCATACGTCTGAGCTTTTTCCAGCTTCGTCTTGTGCTTGAGAAGGTCAAACTCCATGCTGGGGCCGCATACTCTGGGCCGCACGTACGTGGTATACAAGGTTCTGAAAGATTCCGTACACAGGTGTCTGAAGGCAGTTCTGATGTCATCCAGCCTCACATTCATTGCCGGGCTTCAGGAGACAGGTTTGGTGTGATATCAACTCCTAGAACTTTCCGTTTCGTGAAGGACTATCTCCCATTCAATATCCAGTGTCTGGCCTCCTGATTCCCCTTCCCCCTAGATTCATTTACTTGGATTGGTTAGCCATTTGTTGAACCATTCCTTCAGTTTGTTTAGGTCATCTTGTAGCCTCATAGCCTCCTCATAATTTTTGCATTATCATCAAACATTGAGAAGAATGAATCTATTCCCTCTGGGAGATCATTTACATATCAGGAACAGTATAGGTCCAAGAACTGATCCCTGAGGGACTCCACTGGTGACACCTCTCCACTCTGAAACCCCACCCCTCACAGTGACTCACTGTCTTCTGTTGCTTAGGTACTCTCTTATCCAGTGAAGTAACTTCCCTTTCACTCCTGCCTGCATCTCCAGTTTGTGCAGATGAGGACATCTCG